ATATATTTAAATGCTATTTAACAAAGAAAAATCAACCAAAAAAATGAGTTCGCGTGTCACCTCTGATATGCGTGTCATAGGTTCGCCATCACTGTCATAGACTGTTGCCCAGTATGTTTTAGTTTTTATATCTTTGAAAGCCTTCGCACTGAATAATTTCACAAATCAAAAAAGACATTTTGTCAAACTATTTGGTTTGGAAAATACAGCTGCTGTACAAATGGTCTCTCCCCAGAACCCAGCTTTCAGCTTACAGGAGGCACTAGCTGAAAACCAAGGTTAGGATTTACCACACAGGCTCTATCACCCAAGAGAACAAGAGAGCCAGTCAAAAGCAATACATACTAATTAGTTTACGAAAAACATACGATATAACCAAGGGAGATCACAGCTAACAGCTGAGGATTTTCACTATTAAAGGGAAACAGCGAAGATGCAGGGGAGGAGAAACAACCCCTCCACCAAACCGCATGCTCCCTGACACCTGACAGTGCGCACACGGTCACATTCACCTGAAAACACTGAGACGGATTCATCCCGTTTCACGGATGAGGCCACGGGCTGCAGGCCCAGGCCCCAGTCTAGGGCTGCCTCCGTTTACTCTCCTACACCACTCTGCTCCGCTCCACACCCCATGCTGCCTGAGCAAGCAAGCCCTCCACACTGACCAAAACTGCAGGAATCACTGTCTGATGAACAGTTTTTCAAACCTTCACCATCTATAGCAGAGCCTGACATTACAAACAAGGAAACAGATACTGTACCTCAGTGTCATCTACTTCATTTTCTTCAGAGAGGTTGGGTATTTCAATCAATCCCTTGTGCTTTGCACCGGATTCTTTAATTATACCTAAAATGAGCAAAACATGTTCTTCAATTACAAAGTAACAATAGGTTTATGCAAAACTTCCCTGCATAACTGAAGAGCCGGCCCTCCTCACAGGAGCCGCCACAGCTAGTGGTCAGGAGGCTTCAGGCTTTCCCACCACACAGGTACCAACACTGGCCCTGTTTTCCTGGCCCGCGAACAGGTAAGCAACCAGGACCCGGCCAACGAACGTGCACACAGTATCAGGGCCAGGTGGAAGCGTGGTGCTGGAGTAAGTGGTTTTGTAACCAGTGTTTCTTCTTCATCCCCCAATATTCTCTACCACATCAAAGCAGGATAAAGGGCCATCCTGATGAGTCACAAAAGAGATGGAAGAACAGGAAGGGACAACGAGTTCTGATCATGGAAAGAGTGGGAGGGGGAGAGGTGGTGGCTTGGGAAGTTCCATGTGGACTCCATGCAGCTGGATTTTCTTCAACACCAGAGTGATTTCAGTGACCACATCAAGGTGGCAACAAACTGGTACATTATCCCCAAGTTCAGTGCCCTCACAAAATGACCAACTAGCAGCTACCTACACAGGACACACTGTGAAAATCCCAGAACCCACAGGTGAGGCTGGAACCCCCTCCTGGACCCGGGGCAGACAGGACGGCACTAGAGGCTGAGGAGGAGTAACACTGACCGAATCACCCGCCCCCAGGCCAGCACAGCCCCAGGGAGAGGTTCCCACTGTGGTTTCTCCAGAGGGAGAACAGCACGAGGTGCACACCCAGGGTCCTCCAGAATTGTGGGGTGCTGCCTGGGAGACTGCCTGGGCCTTCCCACTGGGAATCAGAGGAGTAGGGGCAGGGCTTTCAGCAACCAGCACTCAAATCTTTTTTCCCACTTACATTCAATGTTATTTTTGCATTAGTTTCAGGTGTACAGCAGAGTGGTTGGACAATCATGTGCTGTGCAGCACTAAGATCTTGGTGGACTGCACTCCTGCCTGCAGCAGCACATAAGTAGAGGTCCCAGTCAGGGACAGCCCACCGGGGGCCTGATTTAGATCCCCAGGCAATGGCCGAAGCCAGCTGTGGAGATAGCAACACCCAGGCAGGAGAGCACATCTGCAGCCCTGCTCAACTGCTAAGCAGAGCCTCCAGTCCCAACCATCCAGGAAGCCCGACCGGGAACCTGGTAGCGATGGGCCCATCTGCAGCCCCACTCAGGCAGGGAGCCTAACCAGCACCTGTCCAACTGCTGAGCACAGCCTCGGGCCCTGCACAGCGAGGGAGCCTCAACAGTGACCTAAGCAGCCGCAGAGCCGGCCTACAGCCCTGCCCAAATGCAACACAGAGCTCGAGGCCTCATCCAGACAGTGACCCCGCCCAACTGCAGAGCACAGTCTTAGCCCCACCCAACAGCTGGAGGCTCCTCCTGGCTGAGAGCCCAGCCGGAGACTTTGCTCAACAGTGGAGCATAGCCAGTGGCCTACTGGCCTACCTGGCACAAAGGCAAGCCTGCACACCTGTCTGTGTGCCCACCTGGTCACAGAGCACAGCCTGAGCCCAGGTCCAACCCCAAAGCCCTGCCTGCACAGAATCCACCAGTGGCACCATCTGATCAAGAGGCATAGTCGGAGACCCCACCCACCCAGGAGCAATTGTGGGCTGGCCCACAGGCCTCCCTAGTCACAGGGTCCAACCAGTGACAGTGCCCTGCCAGGGACCCGCCTGCCTAGAGGTAACTGCAGAGCCCAGCTAGTGGCCCTGCTTCAATGTGGAGCCCAGCCATTAGCAATCAACTCCTCAAAGCACACGTAGAGGCCCCACCCAACTAGAGACCCTGACAACAAACTCCAAAAGACCATGGATACCACTGGCTGGCCCACCCAGTTCCCAAGCTAAGCTGAAAGATGGTCTTTTCTTGCTGACACAAACCTGTAAAGTCTGTAAGAGGAGACCACTTATATGTACAGATACCAATGCAAGGTAAGGCTCATAAAGAAATAAGAAAATGTGACAACACCTAAGGCAACTAATAAAGCTCCAATAATTGCCACAAAAGAAAGAGAGATCTGCCTGGCTGGTGTTGCTCAGTGGTTGGACATCAGCCCATGAACCAGGAAGTCAAGGTTTGATTCCCAGTCAGAGCATGTGCCCAGGTTGTGGGCTCGATCCCCATGGGGAGGGGGGGAGGTGGAGGGGGGAGACAGCCAATCTATGTTTCTCTCATTGATGTTTCTGTCTCTCTATCCCACTCCCTCTTTCTAAAATCAATTTTAAAAAAAGAAATGGAGATCTATAAACTGTGACCAGGAATTCAGAATAAACCTCCTAAAGCTTAGTCAACTACAAGAACACACAGACAACTAAGCCAAGTTAGGAAAACAATGCATGGACAAAATGAGAAGTTGAACAAGAAAATAGAAACCATCAAAAATAAATTTAAAAAACAAATCCTAGAGCTGTAGAGTATAATTACTGCACTCAAAAATTAAATAGCTTCAATAGCTAACTCGAGCAAGCAGAAGAATTAGTGAGCTAGAAGATAAGTCATTTGAAATTATCCAGACCTAGAAAGAAGAAAAGAGAAAACTAAAGAGTGAAGAAAGCCTACAGGACTTATGGGATACCATTAAAAGAAACAAATACATATAATGAGAATCCCAGAAGAAGAGACAGAAAAAGGGATAGAAAGTCGATTTAAAACAATAATGGTCAAAAACTTCCCAAACCTGGTAAGAGAAGTGGACACCCAGATTCATGAGGTACAAAGGACCCAAATCGGCTGACCCTAAAAAGGGCAGCACCAAGACACACACTTAATTAAACTGTCAAAAGTCAAAGACAGAATTTTGAAAGCAGCAAGAGAACAGTGACATCACATACAAGGGAAATTAAACAAAAATCTGACAGGCCAGGAGTCAGACTATATATTCAAAATATTGAAAGAAAAGACTATCAGGGCTTCTGGTCAAGATGGCAGCATAGGTAAACAGTAGTACTCTTATTCTCCCACAACCACATCAAAATGACAACTAACCTACAGAAGAACCATCATTCAGAACCACCTGAAATCTAGCGAACAGTGGTCTTACAACTAAGGATAGAAGGAAGCCAGGTGGGAGGGACAGAGACTCGGGACAGGCTGGGCCCACACCGACATGTGGTGGATAAAAATCAGGAAGGGTTTCTTGGCTGCGGAGATTCCCCATTAGAAACGAGGAGTCCCAGCCCCGCAGCAGGCCCCCCAGCCCAGGGTCCCAGCACCAGGGAGAAGTCCCATAACTCGCGGATGTAAAACCAGCAGAGCGCGCTGAATGAGTGCGGGCTGCGGACGTCCAGGCGCTTCTCTTACAGAGCCTGACTCGGACTCGCTCGCTCTGAACTCCAGCGCGGGGGCAGCAGCTCAAAAGGCACCGTGACATACGGGGAGGAAATGAATTGCTTGGCATCAGGGCAAGAGCTGGAGGGGCAGTTTTCTCCCAGACGGAGTGCTGGCAGAGGCCACTGCTCATTTTCCGAGCCCTCCCCCCACAGAGTCAGCAGGCAGGTGCCATATCCATCAACCTGGCTACACTGTCCACCCCTCCCTGGTGAGTCCAAGACCCTCCCCACCCAAAACAAAATAAACAAACAAGCAGAACAGAAACACACAGAGAACATTTTGATAGTTGCCGGATGGGAGAGGGCTAGAGATATGGATGAGAAAGGTGAAGAGATTAAAAAATACAAATTAATAGTTACAGACAGTGACAGGGATGTAAAGTACAGCATAGGCAATATAGTCAATAATATTATAATAACTATGTATGGTGTCAGGTGGATATGAGATTTATCAGGATTTATCACTTAGTAAGTTATATAATGTATAGTCACTGAGTTGTACACCTAACACTAATATAATACTGTATGTCAACTGTAATTGAAAAATAAAAAATTATTTAAAGTCCTAGAAAACCCCCCCAAAAAACAGGAAAGACTGTTAAGCAGGAATATTATAGCAGCAACATCAATAACCTAAAATGTGAGAGAGAGAAAGTATAAATTTCTATATGCTATTAAAGTTAAGTTGTTACCCGTGTAAATAGGATAGTTTATGTAAGCCTCAAAGTAATCACAAAGAAATACCTGTAGTTGATACAGAAAAGATTATGAAGAGGAGTCAAAGCACACCCACAAATAGGCATCCAATCACCAAGGAAGATGCCAGGAGAGGAAGGAAGGAACATGGGAGCTACAAACAGTCAGAAAAACAATTAACAAATGGCAATAGTAAGTCCTTATCTATCAGTAATTATTTTAAACATAAATGGATTAAATTCTCCAATCAAAAGACACATAATGGCTGAATGGGTTGAAAAGTACCAAGATCTTGCCTGACTGGTTTGGCTCAGTGGATAGAGCGTCGGCCTGCAGACTGAAAAGTCCCAGGTTCGATTCCGGTCAGGGGCATGTACCTTGGTTGCGGGCACATCCCCAGTGGGGAGTGTGCAGGAGGCAGCTGATCAATGTTTCTCTCTCATCGATGTTTCTAACTCTCTATCCCTCTCCCTTCCTTTCTGTAAAAAATCAATAAAATATATTAAAAAAAAAAAAAAAGTACCAAGATCTAGCAATATGCTGCCTGTACAAGACTCACTTTACCTTTAAGGACACACATGAACTAAGAGTGAAGGGATGGAAAAAGATATTTCAAGCAAATGGTGACCAAAAAAAACAAACAAACATGATTACCTATATTTATATTAGATAAAATAGACTTTAAACTACAAATGCTCAAAAGAAACAAAGATGACCCAACATCGAAGCAACTAAATATATAAAGCAAGTACTAAGAGAACAAAAAGGAGAAATAAGTAGCAATACAGTAATATAGTTGGGGGACTTTACTACCTAATTCTCAGCAGAGGATGGATCATCCAGACAGAAAATCAACAAGGAAATAGGAAATTTGAACAACACTATAGACTAACTGGATCCAACAGACATATAAAGTACATTCCATCAAACAGTAACAGAATACAC